GGATTTCAGCACAATTGCAGCACCGTTGACTGAAATTGTGAAAAAAAGTGTTGGATTTAAGTGGGAAAGTGAACAGGAGAATGCTTTCAATTTAATTAAGAAAAATTTAACTTCTGCACCATTACTTGCTTTACCTGATTTTACTATAAAACTTTTGAAATCAAATGTGATGCATTAGGTATTGGCATTGGTGCTGTTTTGATGCAAGAGCAGCGACCTATTGCGTTTTTCAGTGAAAAATTGACTGGTGCAGCACTTAACTATCCTACTTATGACAAAGAGATGTATGCATTGGTAAGAACTTTAGAGACATGGCAGCATTATTTTTGGCCTAAGGAGTTCATGATACATACTGATCATGAGTCGTTGAAGCACCTGAAGGGACAAGGTAAGTTGAATAGACGACATGCTAAGTGGGTGGAATTCCTTGAGACGTTTCCCTATGTGATCAAGTATAAGCAAGCAAAGGAAAACATTGTGGCTGATGCATTATCTCGTAGGTACACACTTATCTCTACCCTAAGTGCAAAGTTATTAGGTTTTGAGCACATTAAAGAATTATATGCTAATGATCCAGATTTTGCTAATGTGTTTAATGCATGTGTGAAGATTGCTTTTGATAAGTTTTATAAGCATGAAGGGTACTTGTTTAGAGAAAATCGATTATGTGTGCCTAACTGTTCCTTAAGAGAATTGTTAGTAAGGGAATCTCATGCAAGAGGCTTAATGGGACATTTTGGAGTTAGGAAAACTTTAGATATTCTGAATGATCACTTCTTTTGGCCACACATGAAACGTGATGTTGAAAGGATCTGTGAAAGGTGCATACATGTAAACAAGCAAAATCTAGAGTTTTACCACATGGTTTGTATTCCTTTACCCACACCTACTGAACCTTCGGTTGATGTATCTATGGATTTTGTTTTGGGCTTACCAAGGTCAAAAAGAGGCCACGATTCTATTTTTGTTGTTGTTGACAGGTTCTCGAAGATGGCACACTTCATTCCATGTCATAAAACTGACGATGCAACCAATATTGCAGATTTATTCTTCAAGGACGTTGTTCGTTTACATGGCATTCCAAGGACTATCGTTTCTGATCGTAATGCCAAGTTCTTGAGTTATTTTTGGAAGACATTGTGGGGAAAGCTGGGAACTAAGCTACTGTTTTTGACTACTTGTCATCCACAAACTGATGGACAAACAGAAGTGGTTAATAGGACGTTGTCAACCTTATTGCGTTCTATTATTCAGAAGAACTTGAAGAACTGGGAAGAGTGTTTGCCACACGTTGAATTTGCTTATAATCGGAGTGTCCATTCAGCAACTAACTGTTCACCATTTGAAGTTGTGTATGGTTTTAATCCACTCACTCCTTTAGATTTATTGCCTTTACCTATTGACAGACAAGCTAGTTTGGATGGGAAAAAGAAAGCTGAAGTGGTTAAGCAACTGCATGAGAGAGTGCAACAAAACATAGAGCGACGAACTCAGCAATATGCAAAACAAGCCAACAAAGGACGCAAGAAAGTTGTACTTGAACCTGGAGATTGGGTTTGGGTGCATATATGCAAGGAGCAATTCCCTGCACAAAGACGTTCTAAGCTGCAACCAAGAGGCGATGGACAATTTCAAGTGATTGCAAGGATTAATGACAACACATACAAGTTGGAGCTTCCTGGTGAGTATAATGTTAGTGCTACTTTTAATGTTTCTGATCTTTTTTCTTTTGATGTAGGTGACGATTTGAGGACAAATCCTTTTGAGGAGAGAGGGAATGATGGGAATCAAGATGACAGCATATCTACTACGTCATGTGATCCATTACACACCCAAGGAGGACCAGTCACGCAAGCTAGAGCTAAGAAGATGTGTGAAGCTTTAAATGGCCTTATTGAGCAGATCTGGGTTGAAAACAACATCAAACAAGCAAATCGAAGCTTGGATGATTATCAAGGCATGGTAAACATCAATCAGGTTCAAGAGAAGCTTAGTTGAGGTCATTTGCACGGAATTACAC